ACTGTAGCTAATAGTTTAGGTGCAGGGTCGTCAACCCCATATAGATCTATACATAAATTCGTGCTCTCCCTCCAGGAGACTCTGGTCAAAGATGGGGACTTTCGTTTGGTACAAACAAAGCCATATGTCTCACATGATTGCTAACAACAAGTTCACGAGTAATATAATGAAATACCTTTTGTATGAAAAGATTATCCTTGATATGAAGAATGCATACTTGTAAATAAATCACATTTCTATTTATAAGATCATGTTGTAACCCAAAGAGGTAAATAAGTGCTTTTCCATGATAACTACTTCATATGATAATCAAAACTACAGTATGAAAAGTATACCAAAAGATTTATGCATACACATTTCTATTTATAGTATTCTCTATTATAGTATTCTCCGTTATAGTATTCTCTGTTATAGTATTCTCTTTTATAGCATTCTCTGTTATAGTGTTTGTATATGATAGTATTTCTCCTAAACTATACCTATAATAGCTTAATAGTAATTTATGTAATTTGAATGAATGAAAGTATACCTTTGCTACCCAAAGGTATTGAACTGATTGAATAGTACTTTTATATCTACATATGTATACATAATATTTAACTAAGATTTAGACGACCTTCGGACAACTAATCGATACCCTAAGTACACATCCATACAAGGAAAAAGAATTAAAGCGGGTTAGCAATCCTAAGTCCTTTAAACATTATTTATATAACTATACATACATAGACATTGCATTTAACAATATGTAAGTTTAAAAGGAAGTTTTCTAAAACATTTGAAGAGTTTAATAATAAATATTGATGACTTGATGTCAATGTATAAAACGATTTAAAAGTAGTTTGTTTGATAAGACAGTGTAAAGTAAAAGAAATAATCAACTGATAGAAGTGACGATGTGAAGAAGACGATGTTTAACTCGGGCCGCACTTCGACTGGTAAGAAAGCAAGTTTCTCGGATACGTCGGGACTTCGGGTCTTGCGTCGTGAGTTAGAGGTGTTACCGGGGCTTCGAGGCAGTCTCGGGATGCTTAACACAGAGCAAAAGTAGCAAGGAAGGTAGAATTGAACAGCCAAAACCCAAGACCTTCGGTTTCTATTTATAGGGCTGATTTCTTCATTTCCACGTCGTGAACACTATTTCCACATCGTGGGCTTGACCGTCACTGCATGCGTCATTGCAAGTTGGGTCTGGCAGACTCCAGGAGGCGTCAGAAGACATTCCACGTCGTGGGCACTGTTTCCACGTCGTGGTCCTTGACAGTTTTGTGGTTTCGCGCCCCGAACTTCAGAAATTCATAACTTCCTCATACGAAGTCAGATTTGGACGTTCTTTTTACGTACGTTTACGGTTTAATGATATCTACAACTTTCATTTAGACGCCTAAGGCTAATAATTATTGTATTGAAACTTCGCGTTTCACGTTTACCAGTATTTCCGGTTTTTGCCGCGAATCTTAGATTGGTCATAACTTCTTCGTTATAACTCGGATTTTAGTGTTCTTTATATTTCTAAAACCCTTGAAACGATATCTATCATTTTATGCAACCCAATAGAAACTTTTGAACATTCTAATTTTGATGCTAATTTCATTAAATCAAAAGTGATTACAATTCCTGACATTTTAGATCATTACGTTGATTCGAAATATCAGGTTGTGACATCATCCCCCCGTTAGAGGGAATTTTGTCCCGAAATTAGAGTTTAAGCAGAATTGATAACTATGCTACAGATAGAAGTTTCATTTGATCCTCGCGTTCCCAAGTGAACTTAGGTCCTCGCTTGGCATTCCAGCGAACCTTTCACTATCGGGATACAGATTTGCTTCTCTCGTTTGACTTCACTGGTATGATAAATCTTCTTGGTCTAATGTGTGTTGAATGTTTTTGTGGGTTGTGAATATAGTATTCTTTGTACCCTACAAGTAGTGTCTCCAGATCTTCAGAGCAGATGCGACTGCTCCTAATTTAAGATTATGTGTAGTATAGTTGACTTCGTGTCTCTTAAGCTGTCTTGAGGTATAGGCAGTGACCTTTATTCCTTGCATAAGAACACAACCAAGCCCTTGGTTGGATGCATCGCAATACACGACGAAATCTTCTATCCCTTCTAGGAGGGATAATATCGGTGCGGTGCACAAAGCTTGTTTCAGTGCTTGGAACACCATCTTGTGTTTCTCTTCCCAGTCAAAGGCCACGCCTCTCTGGGTCAATGTTGTAAGTGGCTTCGTGATTCCTGAGACGTTCTGAATAAACCTATGATTGTATTCAGCGAGGCCTAAGAATTTGACTCTTCGAATCCGAATTTCGCACTTAGAAAGCCTCGTGTAGAACTTCTCCGGTCGTAATGTTTCCACGACTCTTCGTAGGCGTTGACTATGCTCCTCCTTACTTGGAGAGTAGATAAGTATGTCATCGATGAAGTAAATGACGAACTGATCCAAGTAAGGACGGCACACCCTATTCATTAGATCCATGAATACAACTGGTGTGTTGGTTAACCCGAACGGCATCACTACAAACTCGTAGTGTCCATAACTGGTGATACACGGATCTTAGATCTATCTTCGAGAAGTAATTCGCCCCTTGAAGTTGGTCGAATAAGTCGTCAATGCGAGGTAAAGGATAGCGATTCTTGACGGTAAGTTTGTTCAGTTCTCTGTAGTCGATGCACATACGAAACGATCCGTCTATCTTCTTTACGAACAAGACCGGTGCTCCCCATGGTGAGAAGCTTGGTCTAATGAATCCCTTTCGGAGAAGTTCGTTAAGCTGACTAGAAAGTTCCTCCATCTCTTCTGGAGCTAGAAGATAAGGCGATTTGGCTACTGGGGTAGCCCCTGGAACTAAGTTGATTCGGAATTCGACTTGACGATGTGGTGGTAATCCCGGTAGTTCTTCTGGAAAGATGTCGCGAAAGTAGCGTACTTCTGGAATGTTCTGGAATTAAAGCGGGTTAGCAATCCTAAGTCCTTTAAACATTATTTATATAACTATACATACATAGACATTGCATTTAACAATATGTAAGTTTAAAAGGAAGTTTTCTAAAACATTTGAAGAGTTTAATAATAAATATTGATGACTTGATGTCAATGTATAAAACGATTTAAAAGTAGTTTGTTTGATAAGACAGTGTAAAGTAAAATAAATAATCAACTGATAGAAGTGACGATGTGAAGAAGACGATGTTTGACTCGGGCCGCGCTTCGACTGGTAAGAAAGCAAGTTTCTCGGATACGTCGGGACTTCGGGTCTTGCGTCGTGAGTTAGAGGTGTTACCGGGGCTTCGGGGCAGTCTCGGGATGCTTAACACAGAGCAAAAGTAGCAAGGAAGGTAGAATTGAACAGCCAAAACTTTTGAACATTCTAATTTGGTGCTAATTTCATTAAATCAAAAGAGATTACAATTCCTGACATTTTAGATCATTACATTGATTCGAAGTATCGGGTTGTTACATAATTTGATAAGCCTTTTCCTTCCAAGCTTCCAGATTCCTTCCTAAGGTCTAATGCATTCCAAAGATCAGTGCTTTTTCAGACATGTATGCCCAATACAAGTCTAGATCTCAACTTGAGCAAAAATGAAGAAATATCACTAAAAACCTCATGCGTGGAACTCAAGATAGCATCAAAGTCCAGATCTACAACATATGATGGCAAAAGGACCTTAATAATCCATAAAGTTGCCAACTTTATGGACTCCATGCATTCTACTCAACCTAACATGAAGAAATATGGACACAAACTTAGATCTAACATGCTTGAAAGAGAAATGTAGGAGTTTGAGGACTTACAAAGGTATGAAAACAATACAAGATGATGAAGAATAGACTTTCTTGCAGAACCACAACACTAAAAGGGCCTTGTTCTTCAATAATAAGCTAAAGAGACACCAAGAAGCTCTCAAAGTCAATAATCGGGCTAAGGCTTGGATGGGGCGCTTTCTCTGGGAATGGAGGATGCCAAATGTGGCAACACTAGAAGTTAGTGCCTTAAAGTTGGGCACCAACCTCAAAATTAGGGTTTAAGCCAAAAACAGTCATCATGTTGTGGCCACATATTGCCACGTCGTGGGCATTGTAAATGATGCGCGACCGAACCGGTATCGCCACGTCGTGGGCAATCCAACACGTTGTGGCCTTACAATGCGCAAAATAAATTAAAACATACCTTGAAGATCCTGACGTTACACCTAGATTATACCATATCACGTGGGCCATAAAAATATAAAAATTAAAAGTGTATGTATATATATATATATATATATATATATATATATATATATATATATATACGCTACAAGAAAAATACCCTTTAATGACGCGCAAACAATGACACTCGCAGATTTATGATACGCATTTTTGTGGGTCCTTAAAAATAATGTCAGGTTTCCAAAAACTGAAGGATAGAGGGCACACATTTTTCTGTGCCCTTAAATTAGTGTCTCAAGAAAAAAAATTAAAAACACAGAGGGCACCTAACGAAAAAAGTGTGTCCTCTAAAGGTGTCGTTTAAATTTTTTTAGGAAGGCGCGCGCGTTCTCCATTTTTTTAATAGCCTATGGGGGGAAATGAAATCCCAAAAAATTAAACACCCCGCCATGTATCTCCTTCTTCTCCTTCTACAATCCTGTAGCAATGAACCCTAATAGAATTGTGAGGCTGTCAATCCTTTTGAAGCAGCCGTCTTCCTCTACCTCTGCACTCTCTATCCCTTCCCTTTGGAAGCCCTAACCGCCATCACCAGCATCGACTCTCTAATTTCCCTTATTGTCTCTCTATTCTGTTATCCCATATCTCCACTTCCTAACACGCCTTCGTCTCCACCCTACATCCACTTCCACCGCCTCCAACCCTCACAGATTCAACTCTCACTCTCAATCTCTCTTAAATTTTAATCTTTCTAGGTTTTCGAGAAAAGCTTTTTTCTATAATCGGAGTTAAGGTGTACGCCATAGAGCTATACATAGATCATAAAATTATGGATAAATTAGAAACATGGAAAGGATGAACAACGTCTCAGATCCAAGACGATTCTTCTGTATTCGACTTAATTTGTTAAGGTAAATATCAATTTTCTTATGTGAACTTTTGTTAAAATTGCTGCAGATCATTGAAAAAAGGAATAACCATTGAAGAAAAGAACCTTCATCTTCTTAACCTGGCTCGATTCCTCCAAAATTCTGGTTCGGTTATACTTTTATTAGAAGGAAAATCACTAACATGGATTTACTTGATTACTTCTCTTATTCAAAGAAACTGAGCATCTTCTTCTGATTTTTTTAGTCGATTTAATCTATTCTGAAGCTTTTTTTTTACTTTTTTTTTGGTTTTTCTATTCCTTCTGCTTCCTGATTGAGTGAAAGTCGCTTGAAATTGAAGCTTTTCTTTCATTCATGAACTAAGATTTGAGGTTGCTACATATGTTTCTTTTTATTGTGTTAGCTAACCAAGGATCAAATGTTAGGGTGCTTTTTAACCTGACTCCTTTAGATCAGAGTGGCAGCAAGAGGCATAAGGTTTAATCATTACGGGAAAGCATTAGAGAATGATATATATACCCTTATATACAGGGATATCATTTGGTAATCAAAACTTTATTTTCGCTAATTGTGTTTTCCTTTATTCCTAGGTGAAATATAACTAAAGAAGTAATTCGTTTTAGGAAATGTTGACTTGTGTTTCTAGGTTGGTTGTCTCAAAACAAAAAAAAAATTGGAATAGGATAACTAGATTATTAAAATTAGGATAGTTAAGTAATTCTACATCTGTCTTATTATTAGTTTTCCTGCCTGACATATCATTTTAATGAGTTGTTCAACTTATTTTTGATTAAAAACTCTTGTTTTACAGGCAGAATTTCCTAGAATGTGATTACTCCCATAAAAAAGTTTTCACAGGTTCATCACTTTAATAATTTGGTTGTTTATTAATTTTTACTGTTGCAGAATATGACATCAGCTCAGGTCTCTCTGCTGGAGCTATTTCTGGAAATGTGATTGGGTCATGTGCATTTGTAGTGTTGATTTTAGCTCTACTTTGGTGGAGAGGCTATATAGGAGGAGACGAAGAAGATAAAGGCAAGACACAATATATACAAAAAGAAAAAAAAACATTTTATACAGTTCTAACAACTTTTAATTGTTGTAACAACAGAGCTTCGAGCGCTTGAATTACAAACAGGGTATTTTAGCCTACGACAAATTAAAGCTGCTACTCATAACTTTTATCCTGCAAAAAAGATTGGTGAAGGAGGATTTGGACCAGTTTATAAGGTAAGTTTCAAATGTCACCTCTTATTTATTTTTTCTATGGGCAAAGTAACATTCTTTGTCCTTTTTACAAATATGAATTGTATACTTTAACTTTTACATGTAAGAGCAACGTACTTATGACTTTCAACCAAATACAACAATTTTTAGCCTGAATAACTGGTAACCAATGTGTTTCATCTTTTTGCTTATGTGGCAATGTTTAAAGATTTGGCAATTGTTTGCCACATCATCATTGATTGGAGTTGCACAACACATAAGCAAAAAAGATGAAAATATATCAAATGGTCACCGGTTACCGTTCTTCAAAGCTAAAAGTTGTTGTTTTTAGTAGAAAATCATAAGTACGTTGCTATTATTGGTGAGAGGTAAAGTATATTATTGTTCATATTGGTAAAAAGGAAAAAGTACGTTGCTATTTCCTGCAATTTGCTGAAAGTTTTTGCATTTTGTTGAATCACAGGGTGTACTCTCAGATGGTTCCGAGATTACTGTTAAACAACTTTCAACAAGATTAAAGCAAGGAAACCGTGAATTTGTGACTGAAATACGAATGATATCCGCTTTACAACATCCAAATCTCGTGAAGCTCTATGGTTGTTGTATCGAAGGCAAAGAGTTGTTAGTTGTATATGAATATCTCATCAACAACAGTCTTACACGTGCCCTTTTTGGTAAATAACCAAATACTTTTCAGTTTTCAATATCCCGCAATTTCGTACTTTTTTTTTAAATTGTGAAATTTTGATAGGCTGAGAGGACCAGAAGCTTAATTTGGACTGGTCAACAAGAAAGAAGATATGTATGGGAATCGCAAAGGGGTTAGCTTATTTAGATGAGGAATCAAGGTTGAAAATAGTTCATAGAGACATAAAGGCCACAAATGTGCTTCTTGACAAGGATCTTAACACCAAAATATCAAATTTTGGTTTAGCAAAACTTGATGAAGAAGAGAATACTCATATCAGTACACGAATTGCTCGAACAATGTGATCATTTATTTTATATATACATATTTTACCATTTAACTTCATTAAAAATCTGACATGTTTTTATGGTGTAAATTTATAGAGGTTATATGGCTCCAGAATATGCAATGAGAGGATACTTAACAGATAAAGCGGATGTCTATAGCTTTGGAGTTGTGGCTTTGGAGATTGTGAGCGGGAAAAGCAATACAAATTATAGGCCAAAGGAGGAATTTCTCTACCTTCTTGACTGGGTAACTTGAAATTTAAAATAATAATAATAATAATAATAATAATAATAATAATAATCTTGCAGGAAATGGCAGCATACCTTTCCCTTTTTATGAATGTTGATAATATAGTTAGTTTTTTTACCCATAATAGCAATGTATTTTCGATTTTCTTCCAAAAACAATAATTTTTAACGTGGAGAACCAGTAACTGATTATCATTCGAATTTGTTTCAACTTGTTGCTTATTTGGCATTATTTGAAGATTTGGTAATTGTTTGCCACATCATCATTGTTTCATGCCAAATATGCAAAGGAGTAAATTAAAATTTTGGTCTAGGGGTGTAGCTCATTTTTCAGTTTTAGTCCATGAAGTTTCTTTTTTTCAATTTTGGTCCTTATTTAAGGTTTTCATATTTTGGTCCTTGCTCCAAGTGAAATGACTATATTACCATCCCTTCCTTTCCTCTTGTTAAATTTACAATATACTAACAATATAAATTTAAAACAGCATTTAAAAAAACCAGAGAAAAGGTAAATATAGACATACTCATTTTACTTGGAGTAGGGATCAAAAGTGTTACAAAAATGTCAAATAAGGACCAAAAGTAAAAAAGAAATACTTATTTATCTTTACATTAATTCATCCGGAACACGGGTGATTTTTTTTTTGTTTCTTTTAAGGTTAAATTACTAAATACAAGAAATAAGTTAATAAAGATTTTGATTTTTTTTTCTTTTGTAGAATGACAAAATGGAGACAGTGGGGTCTGAAACATAAGCATACGCCATTGCTGACATCATGGCTGTAAGAAATCAAAATCATTCATTTTATCTTTTTTAGGTTATTTACTGATATGATTTATTAATTTCCGAAATTGCCCTCAAGTACTGCAAGACAGAGGTGTATACAGTCAACTGTGGGATGGCATTTGGTCAATTTTCATTCCTCTCATATGCTCTCAACATTGGCTGCATTCAAGAAATAACAACATACTTTCATCAACTTATTTACAATATCATTGTACTTTTGTTTTCTTAAATTCTCCCTATTACAAGTTTGAAAAATCTACCTAGTTATAGGCATGCCATTGAAATATAAAGCAACTTTCTCTATGATACCTGAGTAAATATTCATGTGATTGATTAGTTGACATTTATATTTATTTCTTTTCTTATATTAGGTACGAAGTACGATTTGGATTATAAATATCCTAATAGATCAGGACAAAACTTCAAGTCAAGAGAAGATATGGTTGAGATGTTGAAGAAGGTTAGCACCATGTTCTGAAAAATAAGTCATAAAATTGTCTTGAGGTTTATTTAATGGTGGTTGATGGTTTTGTTTTGTTGATGGAGTTTAGCAAATGTAAAGATAGTTATGGCATTGGGGGAGGATACAATCTCAACTCAATAGCAAATTCAGTGCTTTCTTGTGTATATGTTCTATTAGAAGACAAACATATTTTTGAACCCTTTGAGATTTATCCATTTGTCTACTATTGGAATGATTATTTGTATGACATTAACTTTTGTGCAATGGATTGTATTTTTTGTATATGGTATTTTATTTTATATTATGAAACATGAAATGCAAATTTAATTAGAAAATTAGTAAATCTATGAATAATTTAAAAAAAAAATTTAAAATTACGATACGCAAAAACGTGTGTCATCTTCATTTATGGCATGGCCTTTCTTGACAGCGACTTTAATGATACACATTGCGTGTCATAAATGCGCTTCGTAAATACGCGTCGTCTATAGACGACGCGCAAAAGCGTGTCGTCTCTCGTTATGACATGGCCTTCCTTGACACGCATTTGCGCGTCGTCTGAGCGTTTTACGACACGCATTGCGCGTCGTAAAAGGCTGTTTTCTAGTAGTGATATATATATATATATATATATATATATATATATATATATATATATGTATATATATATATATATATATATATATATATATATATATATATATATATATATATATATATTTGAAATCTTGTAGTATATGATATAATAATTGTATTTTGATATTGATTTAGTAATTTTATTATAGAAATAGGCAACTATATGAACAGTATATATCCTACAAAAATTCTTTGATAACTAATACATATAATAACTTATATTTCTACCAACATCTAATAATGTTAGATTACAAACGTTTTAATACGTGTTGTCTGGGTGTTAAATTTCCTAGACCAAAATAATTCTAACCTTTTTATCATCGGTATGTATTAACATAATGTTACTTCGATAGTATCACATATAAAATTGTTATTGTGATATTTTATTTTTCAACAACATAAATAATAGTTTTTTTCTTTTTATTATATATCCTAATAATTATTATTTGTTATATATTATAAAAACCAATTTGTTTATAAATAATATAGTTTTGAGTTTTAGACTTTGGTTACAATATTTGTGTATGTTGGCATATCTTAAGAAATTAGAAATATAGAGATTCAAAAGATCACAACATCAACAATTCTTATTCAAGTAAGATACAACTGGTTTTCATCAACTTATACTTATACAAGAACCTCACTACAAAATTCTTTCAACACTCTTAGAGATTAAACCTAATGTAATATTCTGTACAAATATGAACAATCGAAGAAGAATGAACAAATGATGAACAAACCCTAACTCGATTGAACAAAACCTAACAGATGCAGAGAGAATACATAGTAGGTGTGTGTAAATGTGAGTTGATAATGAAACAATACACACTCAAACTCTATTATATACAACATATCAAATATGGATCAAATATCGGGTCAAATACGAGTAATATCCAACCCATCAGCAATCCAAGTAAAACCCGCGTACACTCCTTGACCAACTTAGCAACAAGTTACATGCATCCCAAGAGAATCAAGAGCTTGACAAATTCTAACCCTCCTGCAAATATCTAACACAAACCAAAAAAAACAAAAAAAGGATACAACACATGGATTATAAGTTTGAACTATGGAATATCAATAAACTCAACTTCCCTCCTCAAACTTATAATTCAAAAACAACACTTTTCTTGAAAAGGATCAACAAGACCTAGCCTTTTACATATCCATTCATGTTGAGTAGACCCTAACCCTTTAGTAAACACATCTTCCAGATTATGATCAGAAGTAACTTTCAAAACTTCACCAATTCCCTTTGAGACTCTATCTCTGATAAAATGAGTATCAACATCAAATTGCTTGTTTTTTTCATGAAATTAATTGCTTTATAGCTGATTCATTATCACAAAATATTGGAACATGATTTTCATTATTAATACCAACATCAAAAAGAATTTTCAAAATCCAAATAATTTCACAAGACACAACACTAAGAGCACGATATTCAGATTCAGTGGATGAACGAGAAACAGTTTCCTGTTTCTTCTTCTTCCATGAAATAAGAGTGTAACCTAAAAATATTTTATATCCAGTAACTGATTTTCCTGAAACAGTGCACTTAGCCCACTCAGCTTCAAAAAAACTTTTAATAAACATTTTGACTTCAAAATAGAAAGCCCTCTTCCAAGATTAGCTTTCAAATATCTTAGAAGTCTCAAAGCAACATTAAAGTGAGATTTCCCAGGATTGTGCATAAATTAACTTAAAACTTGCACAAAATAAGAAATATCTGGTCTAGTAAGTAAATAAGCTTTCAAACTAATTTTTGAAATAACACAACATTTTGTATTAAACCATCATTTTTATCCAAACCATCTCCTCTAATAATAACATTAGTGTCTAAAGAAGTGTTTATAGGCTTACAGCCTAACATTCCAAATTCATGAATCAATTCAAGGCAATATTTTATTTGGCATAAACAAATACCATTATTAATGTCAACAACTTCCATACCCAAAAAAAAAACTTTAATTTTCCCAAATCTTTAATCAGAAATTTTAGACTTTAAAAAACCTTTTTACTTTATTAATTTCAGCTAAACTATTTCCTGTAAGAATTATATCATAAACATAAACCAAAAGAACAACAATACAATCACTTCTAGATTTAACAAACAAAGAAAAATCATTTATACTTTGTACAAAAGAAAATTCAAATAAAGCAGCACACAGTTTGTTATTAAATTTTATTGGGGCTTGTTTAAGCCCATACAAAGATTTCAACAATTTACAAACCTGATTATTATTTTATCATGATATCTAAGAGGTAAAGACATGTAAACATATTCATCTAACAGTTCTAATTAACAACAGTTCTAATAGTAACCATTTTTGCTACAGGAGAAAAGGTCTACTCATAGTCTATTCCCTATCTCTGATTGTAGCCTTTGGCTACTATAAACCTTTCAACTTCACAATTAGACTTATACTTAATCTTTTACAGCCATTAAAAACTAATAGGATTTCTATCAGGGGGGTAAATCACAATAATCCAAGTTTGATTTCTATATAATGCTTCCATCTCCTCATTCATAGCTTTTACCCAATTGAGATCTAAAGAAGCTTCATAATACGAATGAGGTTCTACGGTTTTATTTAGATTAGCAACAAAACATTTATTTTCATAATTCAAAAAAGAATAATATACAGATTTCTCAATTCCATATTTATATTTTCCTTCTATAACAAAATCACTAAATTTTTGTGGAAATTTAGACACTCTGTGAGATCTCCTTAAAGAGATTATCAGAGGTAGTTAAGATATTATTTTCCTCGGAATTAATAGGCAACTCAGATGTAACCAATTCAGGTTGTGAAATATCTGTTTCACAACCTAGAATACCTTCCTGACTGGAATCAGTTGCACTCACAGGTTGATTAACACTCAAATCACCCTCATGACTGTTACAATCTAAATTCCTATTACCTTGACTATAATCAAGATTATCTGATAACAAAATTTTACCATTGGAAAATAGATCCCAAGGACCATGATTAATCAAGGAAGGAGACTCAAGAAAGTCAGATTTAGAAGCCATTTTAAATGGAAAAACAGATTTATAGAACTTCACATCCCTGGAAAAGAAATAAACACCATTACCAAGACTAAAAACTTTACATCATTTTTTAATACTGGAATACCCAATTAAAACACATTTTTCGGACCTTTCAAAAAACTTATCATTAACATCTAATTTAGTAGCAAAATATAAACATCCAAAAACTCTAGTTTTATCAAAACCATGAGGACATTTTATAAACTAACTCATAAGGAGTTTTACCATTTAAAACAGACTAAGGTGTTCTATTTATAAAAAACAGCAGTAAGAACTGCATCTCCCAAAAAATTTATATGCAATCCAGACTGAAACAACAATGACCTAGAGACATTTAAGAGGTGCCTTCTTTTCCTCTCCACAACACCATTCTGTTGTGGAGTATGAACACAGGAGGTCTGATGAACAATACCTTTACTCTCAAGAGAATTTTTCATATTAAAATTTACGAACCCAGACCCATTATCTGACCTTATTGTTTTAAATTTCAAATTAAACTGATTTTCAAGTAACACAAAGAAACCATGAAAGCAAGAAAAAATTCATCTTTGGATTTCATAAGATAAACCCAGTTAGCTTTAGTAAAATCATATACAATAGTAAGAAAAAACCTAAATCCACCATAAGCAAGAACTTTGTAAGGTCCCCATACATCCAAATAAATTAGCTCAACAATTATACTAGACTTATGTTCACTTAAAGGAAATGGATATCTAGTTTGTTTAGTTTTATGACAAACTTCACATGGCATAACAATTTCATTATCAAAATTAAGAAGAGGTTTTAACACATTTAAAGCTTTATCAGCAGGATG